TAATTCATGCAAAAGGAGCCCCAAGCTGTTATTGAGTACTTGCTATACAAGGATTTACTTTTCAGTAAGCCAACATTTCTGTACTAAAAAAATATATTTATTTTTAATTGGTCTTGTGTAAATATTCTAAATATGGGTTTCACTTTTTTAATTGAATTACTGAAATTACCTTTTTGATACTCTAATTTATTGAGGTGTGTGGTGTGAAAAATCATCAAATCTAATAAGGCCACAAAAAAGCCCAGTAAAGTTCAATGATAGTGCTGTTTGGAATCCTCCCCACAAAAAGTGTTCCACTACCAACAAGGAACTGGTGCCGTGCAGTGTATGCTCCAAACAAATCCAAAAATGGCTAAAACTTCCACTGAGGAAGTGATAGAAGGGAAGGACATAACCCAGAGGATAGCCGATGACACCCACAGGCCATGATGAGTTTTTTTTTTTTTTTTTTTTTTTTTTTTTTTTTTTTTTCTCCTGAGAGCTGGGCTATATCTCTGTGAGTAAAGTGGAGATAATAAGACCTGCCTATCGATCCAGGAAGGGGATATCTTATATGGTATAATTGGAACCCTGTGTATGTGGAGATTGGCTACTAAGGAGATCTATATCATAGGATATTGGTGTGATCCAAAAAGCGTGTTGGCCCGTAGGGTCACTTGTTGGAGGTGAGCGGGCATTTTGGCCATTTTTGGATTTGTTTGGAGTGTACACGCATGGCACCAGTTCCTTGTTCATAGTGGAGCACTGTTTTTGTGGGGAGGATTCCAACAGCACTATCATTGAACTTTACTGGACTTTTTTGCTGTCTTATTATTATATTTGATTTTTCACTGGGATTGTTTTCAATTTTTTTTCTCTGCATATATCTATATATATTTTGATTGTCTCGCCACACTTATTTGTGGTTTTTTTTTTTTTTTTTTTTTTTTTTGTATTTTTTTTATTTTTGTATTTTTTTTATTTTTTCACTGTGTATTGTGTATATGCTATACATTGTGATTTGGCACTTTATGATTATCCCAATTTTTGGGATCCACTTTGACAGTTTGGTACGTATTATCCCAATTGGGAATTGGGTTGTGTTTATTTTTTTGCTGCATTCAGGGTTGTATTTATGAACCCTTTTTTGATATATTCACTGAGTTGCACTTTAGTTGCTTGCACTTTTTTAGAACCTATTGGAACTTTTTATAGTTTATAATTCATATTTTTAGCGCTGCACCATATGTATATTATTTATCTGTTGAGGTAAAGGAATTGGTGTTAACAGCTGTGGTTGGGTAGCATTCATCTAGCGCAGGAGGGGAACCAACACACTTATACATTGGTTACAGAAGGATTTCTAAACTTCTGAATGTTCCAGTGATCACTGTTGGGGCCATAATCCAGAAGCGGAAATAACATAATTTCATCATGAACCAGCTATGACCAGGTGCTCCTTCCAAGATTTCTGATGGAGTAAAAAGAGTTGTGCAGGAGGCTACAAGGACCACTTCTGGAGAGCTTCAGAAAGACCTGTAATTAGCAGGTACAATTTAAAAAAAACAAAAAAAACCAAAATGCACTCAACGACCATGGCCTGTACAATATGCACGCTCACCACCCAAGACTCCTTGCTGAAGAAAAAGCATGTTGAAGCTCGTTTAAAGTTTGCTGCACAACATTTAGACAAGCCTGTGAAATACTGGGAAAATATAGTCTGGTCAAAATTGAACTTTGGATGCCATAATACACACCATGTTTCAAATGGCCCTGCACATCATCCAAAAACACCATACCAACAGTGAAGTTTGGAGGTGGGAGCATTATTTTGTGGGGCTCTTTTCCAGCATATGGCACTGGCAAACTTCATTTCATTGAAGGAAGGATGAATGGGAAAAATGTACCAAAACATTCTTACCAATACCAGGATGATGAAGATGAAACTAGAGTGGGCATTTCAGCAAGACTGATCCCAAACACAAAGCCAAGGAAACTCAATTGGTTTCAAAGAAAATAAAGCTGCTAGAATGGCCCAGCCAAAAACCTGACTTGCATCCAATAGAAAATCTATGGAAAGAACTAAAGATCAGAGTTCGTAGAAGAGGCCTAAAGAACCTTCAAGATTTGAAGACTGACGACTGTGTGGAAGAATGGGCCAAAATCACACCTGAGCAATGCATGCAACTAGTTTACCCATACAGGAGGTGTCTTGATGCTGTCATTTACCAACAAACGATTTTGTACGAAGTATTAAATTTCATTTAGCGTGTTCAATACTTTCTCTGGCATTCCACTTTATTGCACATAACTTAATTTCTGAACCTGTTTGGTTTCTTTTGTAGATATTGATTGCATGGGTTGTTGCCAACATGTGGGGAAAACCTTGTCAATATCACCTTTTTAGAAATCTATTTACTGAGAAAAATGGTAACGTGTTCAATACTTATTTTACCGTGTGTGTCCGCGCCAAAAGTATTGGGACGCCTGCTTTTTGACGCATATGAACTTTTAATGGCATCCCAGTCTTAGTCCGTAGGGTTCAATATTGAGTTGGTCCACCCTTTGCAGCTATGACCACTTCAACTCTTCTGCGAAGGCTGTCCACAAGGTTTAGGAGTGTCTGTCTGAAAATGCTTGACCATTCTTCCAGAAGTGCATTTGTGAGGTCAGGCACTAACATCAGAGGAGAAGGCCTGGCTCACAGTCTCTGCTCTAATTCATCCCAAAGGTGTTCCTCCACCCCAAACTTGCTCATCCATGTCTTTATGGACCTTGCTTTGTGCAGTCCTGTTGGAACAGGAATGGGCCATCCCCAAACTGTTCCCACAAAGTTGAGAGCATGAAATTGTCCAAAATGTCTTGATATGCTGATGCCTTAAGAGTTTCCTTCACTGTAAATAAGGGGCCAAGGCCAACCCCTGAAAAACAACCCCACACCATAATGCCCCTCCACAAACTTTACACTTGGCACAATGCAGTCAGGCAAGTACTGTTCTCCTGGCAACCACCAAATCCAGACATGTCCATCGGATTGCCAGACAGAGAAGCGTGATTTGGTCACTGCAGAGAACACGGCTCTACTGCTCTAGAGTCCAGTGGTGGCATGCTTTACACCACTGCATCCGCCGCTTTGCATTGCACTTGGTCATGTAAGGCTTGGATGCAGTTGCTTGGCCATGGAAACCCATTCCATGAAACTCTGCGGACTGTTGTGCTAATCTGAAGACTACACAGTTTGGAGGTTTTTATCCATTGACTCTGCATATTAATTTTTAATAACTGTCCCGTTTTCGGCCAAGTGCATCCTGAATTTTCGGTTTTAGCACCAGAATTTCCACTTTGGTTTGCCACTAAGACCATGCCATTGTAGCTCTGGCTGTATGTTTAGGGTCGTTGTCCTGCTGAAAGGTGAACCTCTGCTCCAGTCTCAAGTCTTTTGCAGTCTCGAACAGGTTTTCTTCTGAGATTGCTCTGTATTTGGCTCCATCCATCAACTCTGAGCTTCCCTGCCGATGAAAAGCATGGTGTGTTCAAGGAAATGTGCAGTGTTTTAGTTTTTCGCCACACACTGAACTTTTTGGCCTAAAAGTTTTAGCCTCATCTGACCAGAGCACCTTCTTCCACGTGTTTGCTGTGTCCCCCACATGGCTTCTTGCAAACTGCAAACAGGACTTCTTATGGTTTTCTTCAACAATGGCTTTTTTTTTTTTTTTTTTTTTTTTTTCTTGCCACTCTTCCATAAAGGCCAGCTATAACTTTAAAAAAAAAAAAAAAGCACCAATTTTGAGGATAAAAAAAAAAAAAACATTTTTTGCCTTTTTGCTATTAAACGTACAGAAAAAAAAAATCAAATTTAGGCCAAAATGTATTCTGCTGCATGTCTTTGCTAAAAAAAAAAAAAAAAAAAAAAAAAAAAAAAAATTCCCAGTATGTGTAAATTAAGAGGTATGTATGTATATGAATTTTTTTTTATTCTTTACTAGTAATGACTGCGATCAGCAACTTATAGTGGGACTGCGGTGGGCTTTCTGATAATGGGGGAACTAACTTGGTGTCACTGACATCCCCAGTGACACCAATATAGTGATCAGTGCTAATAAAGCACTGACACTGTACTAATGGCACTGGGCATGAAGCGGTTAACATCTGGGGCGATCAAAGGGTTAAATGTGTGCTGTTTTATTATAGGGGCTGTGTGTGTGCTTCACTGTAAGCACACTGCTTGTATGGTTCTGTGCAGGAGCTGACAGATGAGATCTGTATTGCTTTTACATACAGGTCTCTTCCCCCGTCGGAGATGCTCGGCAATTGCCTGGACCCGGTGATTGACAGCCGAGGTTGCAAATGGTGGCGCGGGTAGGGAGCTTGCGCCCCTTCCCCAGAACTGCAAAATTGTGTGTGTGTGTGTGTGTGTTGTGTGTGTGTGTGTGTGTGTGTGTGTGTGTGTGTGTATTAGTGATTTTGCGCACCCTGTAGCAGCATTTCTGTTATACGGCGGTGTGGAACTGGTTAAATGTAAAACAGAAGGATTGGGTTGGTTTTGTGTGGTTTTGTTTTGGTTTTTTTTTTTTTCCTCAGTGTGCATGGAGCCTGAATGTAAAACGATGATTGCTCATCAATGGGTCAGTAAAATTGTAGCCTCATACGTCCTTGGGCTTAGTAGCAGCAATGAGTGTTATGGTTTCATAAGCACCGGGCTTTTTTGGTAAATGGTCCATCTCAAGTGAACAGCTGAGACATCTTGCCCTATGGTGCTACAGATTATATTTTCTTGAATAACTTAAAAAGCTGCTCAGCGGGGAATCTTATCTGTTTATGGAGGGAAAAACCATTCAGACTTCCTTTTTCATTTGAAAAACTTGGACTTTTTTCAAGGTTTAAGAGTTCAGACTATTCCCAAACAATGAAATGCCGTTATACAATTTCAAAATTATAATGAACATAAATTGCAGTCCAGTTTTCAAGAAGGCTGTTCAAGATGTACTGATCACATCGTTCCCTTTTTTTTTTTCTTCTAGCATGTTCTAGTAAGCCCCAGTGCGGAACAGTATGATAGCCTTTTACGTCAGCTACGGGAAAGAATGGATGAAGGACGAGGGGAAACGATATATGTTATTGGTCAAGGATCTGGTATGTTGATAGTTAATATAGAATTTTGTTTATGTTCCTATGTTTTTAAGCATGTAAGATGAATTTCATAAAATTTTTTTATGTGTACAGGTTATGTTCTTTGCTACAGTACATATCCATTTCTTAAAGTCCAGTTATGAAAATAGAGCTTGGAGTTCTTGGTGTGTGGTGTTGTGTGTGGGTTTTTTTTTTTTTTTTTATTATATCATCCATTGAAGGGCACAGAAGAAGGTTTGGATGCTGGCAAACCAAAAACCCTTTTAAAGCCAAAGTTGGGAGGAGGGGGTGGGGGGATAAGCACAGGAAACATTACTTATAAATGTGATGTGTCCTATTGCTGCAATCCTTCTGGTTTGGTGAGGTTATCAAGAGTGCTGATGATCCACCTGTCCTCGATTCATAGATTTTCATTCATTGAAGCTATTCTATGGCCTCTATGAATGTAGGAGGGGGTAGAAAGGGTAGGCATAGTTGCCACTTTTGATGAGTGCATATGACAAGTCCCTCATCTCTAGTTACCCCAGCTGCACCTGAAGATTTCCTGAACAAGATTTCCAGTATTTCTGGATAAACCCTCTGCACATTGCTGCAAACCCCTCCCAAAAAAACAGAATATCTGGGTGAAGATTTCCCCCCCCCCCCCCCTCCTATTTTCATAAGCCCCATCTCATTGCATACTATCACATTATGAAGGGTTTGCCTTGAAACAAAGACCTCTAGAGGAGCGCTGTCACAGCTCCCCAGGGCTTCCATCTTCACCCGGTCTTCCTTCCGGGTTTGTGAGCTCTGGCCAGCTGACTTGCCGAGCCGCGATGACGTCACTCCTGCGCATGTGAGTGGGAGTCCCGGGCCACGGCACTGTTCCTACAGAGTGCATGTGCTGGCTGTCAGTGCCAATATCTCCTAAACATTTCATGTTTTAATTTTACCTACAGGTACGCTTTATTATAAGATTACCTGTAGGTAAAATTTATTAAAGAAGCATTTACTACCGCTTTCAGGTCAACAAATATTTATCCCATGGCCCTTTCCCTTGGTGGTATGTTGTGAATGTTTGTGGGGGTTTAAACCCTAACGCAAAATGTATTTATATTGCAGCTTACCAAATCGTAGATGTGATGGCTGCATTCAATTTCTTCTTTAGGCTTTTCTTATTTTCATCTGGTGATCTGGCCAGTAACTCTGTTGTTTTTTCAAAAGAACACGTTCTCCTGCAAATGTATCAGTTTTACAGGGATGAAACAAACCATTTTAACACAGCTGGGTTGCTTTTTGCTTACAGTGATCCGCTTTTATTCATGTAAAACCTATATCCTAAAGTGGAAAACCAGTTTGCTGTAATTGGTTATAAAGTATTTCCTACAGTTGGGCTTCAATTCATTAGGGTATTTTAAATCTGCTAGTATAGTTAACACTGCCCTTCCCTCCTCCCCCCTTCCCAGACAGTACTGCTGTCTGCTGTTCTCCTTCATCCAGAGCGGGGCACTCAAATACAGGAGATGTAGTACTGGCCAGATCACAAGGTGAAAACTGGGGAGAAAGCGTTTATTAAAAAAAAAAAAAAAAAAAAAAAGTGCCGCTACCACATCTAATGTTGATAAGCTGCAATATCTACAGAAGCATGTGGGGAAAAAATGAAAAGAATTGCTCCAAATCGGTTGAAGCTGGGAAAAAACCCTACAGGTTTCACGAACTTGTTTGAAGTACTGATATTAAATTTTTTTTTTTTTTTTTTTTTTTCCATTTCTAAATCTTCTTTAGCAAAATCAATATATTAGACACCATTCTTTTCAATATGGAAGCCATAGTGAACTCTAATTTTGTGTAATTTTTTTTTTTTTTTTTCTATACTACCTTTTTGTTGTTTTTCATTTCAGATGGTACAGAATATGGGCTAAATGAGGGTGATATGGAGGCATCAGTGGCTACAGTAGCTAGCATGGCAGAACAGATTGGTGCTGATATGATCCTGTTGCGAGAGCACCAAGAGGTTGGAGGCAAAGTACGAGACTACCTGGTGCGCAAACGAGTGGGAGATAATGACTTCTTGGAAGTGAGGTGAGAGGAGCCCCCATTCAAATTTTTGGTGTGTCTCTGCTACCAAATTATTGTTCTTATTTGAGGAACTGGGTATGTATTTAAAGTTCCTACAATTAAAGCTGAACTATATGCTGACATAAAAGACCTAAATAATGCAGCTTTGTAATAATGAATATATCATTAGATATTTTATGTATATTTTTTTTTTTATACATATTTTAGCATGTGAATGACTTTTTCTTGTGTACCTTTTTCATATTTTTAACCGTATTTGCTTTACAGGCATTTGTTCTATATTGCTTTAGTAAATTAACCATACTGTCTTCATTCTGCAGAATGCTCACTGAGCTTGGTTAATTAGGTGAAGATATATGATGTGCAGCTACCATTCGGCTAGTACACTGGCACAGGAAAAAAAAACAAAAAACACAAACTGCAGAGTCTTTACATATTCCACCTGATTTTATGATGTAACGTGTTCCCATAGCTGTTGACCTGTACTGGTTGTCAGATTTGGAATATGGTTTTCAGTGAACTACCACAGCACTGTTGAACGCCGTGGTAGTTCATTGAAGCTTCCTGTCAGAATATCTGCTTGACTGTACATCCCTGTATGGCAAGCAAATATTCTGATAGGTCTGCAGGAGATCTGCAAGACATCAGCGATCTACTGATTGCTGGTGCAATGCTTCACAGGCTTCTTTAGACAAAAATAATGCACATTTTATTTTTGTCCAAAAGGTGAACTTATCCTTTTTAATGGTGCGTTTTTGTGGGACTTTGACCCCTGCGCACTATAAACCATGCTAGTTAGGATTCAATCCTCTTGGCTCCCCCCCTTTTTTGTTCCCTCTGTTGCTATGTCTTCTTTTCTTCCTGCTGTTTTCTTTTGCTCTGTTATCCATTCTCTCCATGAGATTGGGTAGTCCCCCATTTTTACTCCCCTTCCCACCTATGACTACATTCACGCTAACATGATACCATCCCTTATAACCTACTTTTTGGATCCATCAAGCCCCCATTGCCCAGTTATAACAGATACCTTTTTCTTGTGATACCTCCTTCTTCCTTTTTTTTTTTTTTTTTTTTTTTAACTTGCCTTTTTATTTAATTTTCTACGCGTACTGGCTAGTTTGCATGTGTTATACCTTTTTGTTAGAAAGTCCCTTCTTGTCTAAGGTTGTCTACTTTATATGATCATAGTTTGATAGTGTTGAGCAGTCCATTCCAATGTGGAATTGCTAATATTTTTGTTTTGTACAGTCTGTACTGTTCTTGTTTGTGAAACCTGTTGAACACTTCTTTCTGCAGCTTCTAGATCTCCTCAGCGGAGTCTTCGGGAACTGTACTCATCTATAAAGGAGATGTGGGGGCTGGCCTGAATTGTCATATCTAGTGCTGGATTCTGCAGGGGCGCTCACCTTGAGATGTGGTGCATGTTGTTAATTTAGCCACAGGGTGTTATACAGGCCTAGGCACGTGGTCTACCAGCTCCAAAGCTCTGTTCCTAAAAATCCCTTTGGGGTATGCCCATCGCAGAGGATGAAGTCAGACTAGTGTCTGGTCCCTTTTTAAATTCTTTTTAGTTGTAAAGATCTCTAATTTAGTCAGTACAGGGCTGGTGCCCCTTTAAAATCTGTTCCAGGGTGCTCCTGTGCTTAGGCTACGGGAGCAGCGCAGGCTGCCACACTTGAAATGATGTGTTTATGGATGGAGTGTGAGTGCTGGCCGTTTACAATTGCGGCAAGGGGTCAAATTGTCTTGCTAGCTCACTCAACCCAGATATCTGGGATGGATGGGGGGGGGTAGCTTTTCTTCACAGGGTCCCAGTAACCTCTGTTCGGACGTGGCCCACCGTGTGACTCCCTGCCTTCTTTTTGGCATTCTGCTGGTCCTTTGGCCACACAGCTTTCCTCCTATCATCTATCTTGAGTTTTCATCCACTATGTCTTTTCCTGGTCAAAATCTCTGTCCATTTTAGAGGCTGTAAATAAGTCGCAAGTGAGCCTCTTATGTCTCCCCTTCTGAGATGGTCTCTGATTTTGTTTATTGCGGATACACTGCCTGAGTATGAGCAATACCCCCACTCCCAACAATGTGGCAAATTATGTTTAATATTGATAAAAATGCAAAGTCCTGTCCTCCGATTCTCCAGAAAATAGTGCTGCCCCACTTCCAGCGGTGGACTGTTCCTGCTGTCCTCACGTCCGAAGCTGGTCTGTGGGCGTGATCACATCGGGAACAGCCTATTCACAAGACCGCTTTTATTCATGTAAAAACTAGTGTTGGGGGGCGGCAGGGGTTGGTTTTGCTTGGTGGATTAGGCAATTATGTCTAAGCTTTGGGAACCAATAGACAAAAACTAGCGTGTGCCCGCACTGCATGGGAAAATACAATTTTGCCCCGAATTCTTCTTTAATAATAAGCAGTGCCAAGCTGCAGTTTCTAAAACTAACAAAATCCTTTCTTGTAGTAAAAGGTATAGCCTGCAGAGAGACTTCATTTTGTCCTTGTACAAATCATTAAGACCTCATCTGGAATATGCAGTTCAGTTTTGGGTACTGTGTATGTGCAGCGAAGGGCAACCAAACTCCTAGACATGGAGGAACTCTGCTATAAGCAAAGATTATAAGAACTGAATTTTTTTTTTTTTTTTCTCTTAAGTGGAGATAAATGGGGGGTTATGATTAACCTGTTTAAATGAGTGGTCCACATAGTGAACATGTGTCGAGTTATTCACTTTTAGGTCATTACAGAGGACAAGAGGGCATTCTGGAGGAAAAGAAATGTAACCTCCCACGTACGAAAAGGCTTCTTCACAGTAAGAACTGAAGAACTAGTTCTGGGCAGCTCAGTAAATTGTTCTAAAGGCCTGGATGCATTCCTAAATGCACATAGTATAACTAGATATTTATATTTAGAGGCAATAACCCCCCCCCCCCCCCCTTCTTTCTCACTAGAGTGAATCAAATCATCCTTTGGCATTTTTTGCCTTCCTGTGGATCAACTGTGGGTATAGGATCATGTATATGGGTCTTTTCGATATCTTTCTTGGTTGATCTTTATTTATTTTTTCTTCTCTAACTATTCAACTACAGTTGTGTTCAAAATAATAGCAGTGTGTTGAAAAAAGTGAATAAAGCTCAAAATCCTTCTAATAGCTTTTATTTCCATACACACAATATTATTGGGAACACTACACATTCTATTCCAAATCAAAACATAAAGAAAAATATATCAAATTTGTGGTGTTCAAAAAATTGAAGAAAAGTGAATATTCGACTGTTCAAAAAAAATAGCAGTGTTTGTATTCTTTACAAACTCAAACATTCACTATATAAACTGATGGTGAAACAGGACAGAAGTTGCAAACAAGGATGAATTTGCACAGACATACCATCAAGGAACATAAAGATGACTTTTGCACACTTGTGGGACACAATTTCGCACAACCAGACCACACTTTGGGAGACCTCAATATTTTAGTTCTTAAAGGAAATTTAAAATTCTTTCAGGAAAGAAACTTTTGAACTAAGAACGGTCTAAATTTGGACATTTTTGATGTCACCCCACAAGTTTTCTATTGGATTAAGATCCGGGGATTGGGCTGGCCACTCCATAACGTCAATCTTGTTGGTCTGGAACCAAGATGTTGCACGTTTACTGGTGTGTTTGGGGTCGTTGTCTTGTTGGAACACCCATTTCAAGGGCATTTCCTCTTCAGCATAAGGCAGCATGACCTCTTCAAGTATTCTGATGTATTCAAACTGATCCATGATCCCTGGTATGTGATAAATAGGCCCAACACCATAGTATGAGAAACATCCCCATATCATGATGCTTGCACAACCACGCTTCACTGTTTTCACAGTGTACAGTGGCTTGAATTCATTGTTTGGGGGTCGTCTGACAAACTGTCTCCAGCCACTAGACCCAAAAAGAACAATCTTACTTTCATCAGTCCACAAAATGTTGCGCCATTTCTCTTTAGGCCAGTCAATGTGCTCTTTGGCAAATTGTAACCTATTCAGCACATGTGTTTTTTTTCCAACAGTGGGACTTTGCGGGGGCTTCTTGCAGATAGCTTGGCTTCACATAGGCATCTTCTAATTGTAACAGTACTCACAGGTAACTTTAGACCTTCTTTGATCTTCCTGGAGCTGATTGTTGGCTGAGTCCTTGCCATTTTGGCTTTTCTATCCATTTGAATGGTAGTTTTTCGCTTTCTTCCACATCTTTCAGGTTTGGTTGCCATTTTAAAGCATTTGCGATCATTTTAGCTGAGCAGCTTATCATTTTCTGCACTTCTTTATAGGTTTTCCCCTCTCCAATCACCTTTTTAATCAAGGTGCGCTGTTCTTCTGAACAATATCTGGAACAACCCATTTTCCTCAGAATTTCAGAGAGAAATGCACTGTAACCAGCATGTACAACATTTGCTGCCTTCCTTCCTTAAATAAGGGCTATAATTGCCACCTGTTTTTCAAAGAATGAATGACCTCACTAATAGAACTCCACACTGCTATTATTTTGAACATGCCCCTTTCAATTAGTGATTTCAATTACACAGAATCAACAGCATGCATGTAATGACTGTTGGGTCTGTTGGATTTCTATTACTCCACTACACCTGCTAGTAAATTATTTGCCATGTAGAAATATCATTTCTACCAAAAACAGTGATTGATCAGGTTAGTGATGTCTGACTTATTTTGAACGCAACTGTATATAACATTTTAGAGCCATGTTCTTTGAATGACGCAAGTACCCAAAATAAGTCTAAATTTTGTTATTGTTTTGTTCTAGGGTGGCTGTAGTTGGCAATGTGGATGCTGGGAAGAGTACACTTTTAGGAGTTCTGACACATGGAGAACTCGACAATGGCCGTGGTTTTGCCAGACAGAAACTCTTTCGGCACAAGCATGAGATTGAATCAGGCCGCACCAGCAGTGTGGGCAATGACATCCTAGGCTTTGATAGCCATGGACATGTTGTAAACAAACCAGACAGTCATGGAGGTAGTCTGGAATGGACCAAGATATGTGAGAAGTCCTCAAAGATCATTACTTTTATAGACCTTGCTGGTCATGAGAAATATTTGAAGACCACTGTATTTGGAATGACTGGTCACCTACCAGATTTCTGCATGCTGATGGTGAGTTGGAGTAGTACCAGAGTTTGTTTTCCTTGTTCTTATTTGTAGTTATGAAATATTTGGATTTGAAAGCAGAACTTTATGAAAAACAAATGTATTTGCAGTGGGACTTTATGAAAAACAAATGTATTTGCAGTGGGACTTTACTTGCACTTCAAGAGCTAATTGCTTGTTTATTCTTTGGGTACCAGTAAAAAGGACTTTAACTTGTCTGATGTGTGTGCAGTCCCCCTGCACCCTCGCGTACAATGCAGAGGTTATTGGCCCTACTTTATACTTCATGATGTCAGAGCACTTGTGGCCGATGTGACATAGACAAGAGGCTGCAGGGGCCAGTCTTTCACAGTGTACAGGAGCTGAGTGAAGTCCTCCTTTTTTTTTTTTTTTTTTTTTTTTTTTTTTGTATCCTTGGCATAAAAAGCATCTCTCTAGCTTCTAGGTTGTACTCTATGTAATTTATTACATGTCTTTTAGCAAGTACACTTCATTAATTTTCCACCCAACTTTGTTGGTAAAAAAAAACCTTTCGCTGCTGGTTTCATCTTGAAAATGCTAGTTTTCTGCTCGTTTCATCATCACTTTATGAAACACTCCCAGAATTTATCATGGAAGGTCAAAGTGTAGAACCTGTGGTGGGCCATTCAAAAGGCATTCAAGCCAGAAGGTTAGCATGGGAGTGGGGCAATTACTATCTTCTACTTCATAAATGTGCATCCAAAAGCAAGGCTGAAAGTTTTTTACCTTCAGCCTCGGCTGTCCCGGGTCTCTCCCTCTTCATTAGCTGAGACCGCAACGGGAGCCATTGACTCCTGCTACTGTTAATCACAGCCAATGAGGAAAGAGTGGGGGTGTGGCCAAGCCATATCTGTGTGTGAATGGACATACAGAGGAACTAACCTGCTGCTTGGGGGGGCCCCATAGCAAGATGCTTCCTGTGGGGCACTTGGCAGGAGGGAGGGGCCAGGAGCGCTGGTGGGGGCCTGAAAAGGAGGATCGAGGTTGCTGTTTGTAAAACCACTACACAAAGCAGGGCAGTATGACATGTTTGTTGTATGTGGGGGGGGAAGGGGGGTTTAAATCTGCCTTTTTTAAAATCGCTTTAAAGGGCTGTAAATGAAGTGGTCTATATAGTAAAGAGAAGAGATCCACAATCAAAAAATGCTTTTATAAAATGGATCCATGCTACATAGAACGGTCTTGCATCACTCATACAGGTGTACTGTACCTTCTACATATGGGGTGAGATACATGATGAGAATTGTAAACTTTTTTTTTTTTACTTTTTAAATCTTAAAGTGCACAACTCCCCCTTAACTACTATATCTCCCAACTGTGCATCTACATCCTTAAACCATTTCCCTGAAATATTATCCTTCCCCTGGCGGGAAAAAATCTGTACCCATCAGGGGAATCAACAGTGAGTTATGCTTCCAATCTGTTTTTATTTGTGTAATCCATCCCATACTCTTACCACCTGTGTAAGTGTACTTCTAGTCTCATCCATATTACGAAACTTTCGTGGTATCCAAATAATCCTCTAATCGTGTTACTTAAAGTGCCTTCTATTTTAGGCCAACTCTTCCCCTGTGAATTATGTGTCCAATCTACAGTTCATGACAGTATCGCTGCAGTGTAATAATTAATATCCGGCAGATTTAATCCTCCTTTTTCGTTCTTATTACACAGAAGTTCATACCTAATTCTCGACTTCTTATTGGCCCATATTAATTTTTTTTAATATCGCAAAGAAGGATTTTGCAATGTGGACTGGGAGCATATGAAATTTTATATAGAATTTTTGGGACTATCACCATCTTAACCAAAGGTATACGCCCGATCCAAGAGACCCTTCCGTTTTTGAAAGTCTGCTCAACTCCTCTATTTCATTTATTAATGGGATATAGTTCACCCGATTTTTATATTTTTTTTTTTTTTTTTTATAGAATGGGTCAATTTACTCCTAGGTAGCCTGATTCCTTTTCCCTCCATGAGAATGGGAAGGCCTTTTTGTAGAGTCTGCATCTCCTTCTTATAAATATTAAAGATCTTTGTTTTCATTAAGGTTTTTTCAAATTTTGAAAACTCCATACTACTTTTTTTTTTTTTTTTTTTTTTTTTTTTTTTTTCTTTATCTCATTCGGTTAGGTAACGTTAACTGTGGGTTCACATTATAAAACAGTATATCAGCATATGCTGCTACCTTATGCTCTATCTCACTTATCTTGATTCCTCTAATATCTACTCTTACCGTCGCTAGCAAAGGTTCCAAGGATAAAACAAATGACTGGGATAAGGGGCACCCGTCTCGTGTACATTCTAAAAGACTCCAAGAGAGACCCATTTACCTTAACTGCTGCTGTCGGGCCATTATAGAGCTCTTTTATCCAACCCATCATCTTAGTACCTATTCCCCCTATCTCTAGGGTGTCCATCATGAACCCCCAGTCTACCCTGTCAAAAGCTTTTTTTTAGCATGGATTGACAATATAATTGTTGGTAATTTTTCTCTTTGCCTTCTGTAAGAGTAGCAATATTCTTAATTTATCCATTCTTGGGACAAAGCCCAGTTGATCTAAGTGTATACATTCAGGCATCAGCTCAGATAGGTCTATAAACTAGCACATTGTGAGCTCCTTTTTTTTTTTTTTTTTTTTTTTTTTTTTTTTTTTTTTTTTAAATCGTTATATATGTTTGCAGCTTATTCCCATTTCCTCTCCTAAGGCGTGTGTGGTATGTATAGAGAGACCATAAGTTTTCCCAACACTTCATACAGAATTACTTCTGGATTTTGATTTGGCCATAGATATTGACAAAGGTGTAAGTTTGTCCCCTTATTTTCCCTCTTAAGCATAAGAACTGGCCCTCCTGGGTCCTCCAATCTCTCCTCCACAACAAAACTCACATTTTTCGAGAACCTGATCGCTACTCCTTTTAGCTCTCTATTAGTGAGTCCCCATAGTACCATGTTTGGTAGTACCTCGAGTATAGTTTAATATTAGTCATATGTTAAATGCGTATCTTGAAAAACACATCTGCCGAAAGTTGGTCAACTTCTCTAAGTAATTGTCTTTTTAGTAGAATTTAACCCTTTCTCATTTGTCATGAAGTTAATTGAACTCATAGCTATCTATTATTTGTTCTCTTGTTCGGAGGGAATACGGTGTAGACTGTCTCATGGATCTTCCTCCCCCCTCCCCCCCACTCCATCCTCTTCCCCAACCCTTACCAAAATTACAAAAAAAAGCCCCTGGCCTATACATTGTCATGGAATCTGATTCCCCCACTGGTGATTCCTAATTTGGGGTAACACTCTGAGCATGAATGTCTACTCCTGCTCTCAGCATGGGGTTCAAGTATTTAACATCCTGTTTAGCCTTCCGATGCCCCGCCATCACTACCTGTATTCCCTAAAAACCTACTTGGGAACACTGGTGAGGGTGGTGAGCAGGGTGGAATCAGATAATCGCGTCTCTGGGGTGTCTGATGTTACTCCTGGTGGGTGTCTTTAATCTATGTATTCTCTCAGTCTTAAAAGGATCTGTGGCTGGTCTACCTGTCAATGGGTTAAACACCTTTTATTTACCGTAGGTCCTCTTCATGTGCATCCTCTGGGAGACCTTTTAATCCATAACCTCTTTTCCTGTTGGCCGCATACAAATGTGCGGCCTCCCGGTCTCTGGGCCTAGACGCCGAGCGGCTGCACATATGCATTCAATTAAAAAAAAAAAAAAAAAAAAAATGTGCTGAGAGCGTGCTCCCTGCGCGCTCCCAGCACACATGTCCGGTACTCACGGAAAGGTCCCAGTCTGCTCTTTTGATCGGGACCTTTCCCGATCATGTGATGACGCGTCACGGCGGTCACGTGATCCCTAAGCCCCATCCGTCCCAGCTTCTGAAACTTTTAAAGGGCTGGGAGGCGCCGGCGTGTAGGGGTTAAGTTGTTTCTTCTCTCTGTTTTCTTGGTCCTCCAATTTTTAAATGACAGTTTCCTCTGTTCCCTTTGCATCTCTTCCAACTGCATTTCCAGATTATACAGGTGAAACTCGAAAAATTTGAATATCGTGCAAAAGTTCATTTATTTCAGTAATGCAACTTAAAAGGTGAAACTAATATATGAGAGACTCATTACATGCAAAGCAAGATAGGTTAAGCTGTTTGTCAGAATTGTGGTGATTATGGCTTACAGCTCATGAAAACCCCAAATCCACAATCTCAGAAAATGAGAATATTGTGAAAAGGTGCAATATTCTCGGCTCAAAGTGTCCCACTCTAATCAGCTAATTAAGCCACAACACCTGCAAAGGGTTCCTGAGCCTTTAATTGGTCTCTCTGTCTGGTTCAGTAGGAATCACAATCATGGCAAGAGACTGCTGACCTGACAGTTGTGCAGAAAACCATCATTGACACCCTCCATAAGGAGGGAAAGCCTCAAAAGGTAATTGTAAAAGAAGTTGGATGTTCCCAAAGTGCTGTATCAAAGCACATTAATAGAAAGTTATGTGGAAGGGAAAAGAGTGGAAGAAAAAGGTGCACAAGCAGCAAGGATGACCGCAGCCTGGAGAGGATTGTCAGGAAAAGGCCATTCAAAAGTGTTGGGGACTTTCGCAAGGAGTGGACTGAGGCTGGAGTTTGCATCAAGAGTCACCACACACAGACTGATCCTGGACAATGTTGTTTTCCTCTTGTCAAGCCGCTCCTGAACAACAAACAATGTCAGAAGCATCTTACCTGGGCTAAAGAAAAACAGACCTGGTCTGTTGCTCAGTGGTTGCATCTCATTTGGAAACCAAGGACCCAGAGTATGAAGAATTGAGAGGCACACACTGCAAGATGCTTGAAGTTCAGTGTGAAGTTTCCAGTCTGTGTTGATTTGGGGAGCCATGTCATCTGCTGGTGTTGATCCACTGTGCTTCATTAAGTCCAGGGTCAATGCAGCCTTCTACCAGGAGATTTTGGCGCACTTCATGCTTCCTTCCGCAGACTAGCTTTATGGGGATGCTGACTTCATTTTCCAGCAGGACTTGGCACCTGCCCACACTGCCAAAAGCACCAAAACCTAGTTCAATGACCGTGAGATTACTGTGCTTGATTGGCCAGCAAGCTCGCCTGACCTGAACCCCATAGAGAATCTATGGGGCATTGCCAAGAGAAAGATGAGACATGAGACCGGACAATGCAGAAGAGCTGAAGGCCGCTATTGAAGCATCCTGGTCTTCCATAACACCTCAGCAGTGCCACAGGCTGATGGCTTCCATGCCACACCGCATTGAGGCAGTAATTGCTGCAAAAGGGGCCCAAACCAAGTACTGAGTACATATGCATGCTTATACTTTTCAGAGGTCCGATATTGTTCTATGTACAATCCTTGTTTTATTGGTTGCATGTAATATTCTAATTTTCTGAGATTGTGGATTTGGGGTTTTCATGAGCTGTAAGCCATAATCATCACAATTCTGACAAATCAAGGCTTGACTAATCTCATATATTAGTTTTCACCTTTTTAAGTTGCATTACTGTAATAAATGAACTTTTGCACTATATTCTAATTTTTCGAGTTTCACCTGTATGTCTGCTGAGCTTGTGGCTCTGTTCTCTCCTCCACTTCCTCTATCCTTGTAAACATTCGTCCAAGATCCTTACGAATCACTGCCATTTAACTTTTCATAGATAATTAGTTTTGTGAACATTTTTGCCATCTCTATTTTTGTGGGGATTTGTGATATTACACCCTGTTGTTCAGAGACCTTTTGATCATTTACAATGTTATCGTTTATCAATTCATTACTCTGATTCTCATCCCGTACACCAACTGACAGTCTAGACTGCTCTCCATCAAATTTTTTAGTTCTTTCCTGATGTTTCCCCGGACTTTGTTTCTCTGGGCTTTTTCCTGTAATGGCAAGTATTTCTTTATTGTGCTAGTATTTCTTTAATGGGTCTGTTCTTCATAGCCGCAGATTTTTCAATCAATGTTCAGAAATACAATTCCCACACCCTCAGGGGACCTTTCCTCTTTGATCTTCAGCGACTTTACAGTCCCAAGTTACGTTTTATAGCACATACGTTCACTCCTAGGACTCTGAGAGACCGTGATTCCTTGGTCTTCTTACCATCCAGCCCCACTGCTCAGGTATACAGTTGCTAATAGAAGAAATAGAATAAGTATAAATCAGCACACATAAAAACATAAAATCCTCAAAAATCCCTTAGTCATATTGATATCCTTCCCCTGAAGTACCAATAACTAATATATTCATTGACTTAAACCCAAAACCCACAGTTACAGTGAAAAATCAAGTCCCAAAGGAATTACCCAAAATATTATTATGCAAAAATAAAAACAATCTCAAAATAAAGATAAAAAAAAGTACATAAATAAAATAAAGTCCCAATACACAAAGTGTCCAAATAATATGTCCAAACTAAGATCAATTCTTGATAGGAAGACGCTTCCTACTCCACTGAAGATGGAAATCAATCACAGGTGCTCTTCAAATACATATAAAAACGATAAGATCAGCAAATCGGCATCCTAATGACCAGTATACGATCCCCTTTCCGTGTGTAGAGGGTCTCCCGATCACCAGGTAATTCCCCCTTTGCCACTCCTGTCCAGCACTATCACTTTTTTGCTCTGGGGGACACCTGAAGTGAACCGTTACTCTCCAGACCTCCGACACACAGGGGTTCCAGAATCCAAAATGGCTGCCGCGGCACTTCCGGGAACGTCAATACGTCACGTGCCCTGGACGCGTTTCGTCACTTCTGGACTTTGTCAACATCCTTTTATTTATGTATTTTTTTTTATCTTTATTTTGAGATTGTTTTTATTTTTGCATAATAATTTTTTGGGTAATTCCTTTTGGGACTTGATTTTTCACTGTAACTGTGGGTTTTGGGTTTAAGTCAATGAATATATTAGTAATAGAAGAAATGACAACTTTAAATTTTACTGCCGTTTCCCATGGCAACTCGCCCTCCGAACCCAGGCTTCTTGATCCATTGCACAGAGCAGGTGAGTAAAACATGTTTTTTAAAAAAAAAAAAAAAACTTTAATATCACCTTTTTAAGGATTGTTACCTGCAATATAGTAAAGTGTGTGTGTGTGTGTGTGTGTGTGTTTTTTTTTTTTTTTTTTTTTTTTTTTTTTTTTTTGGGGGGGGGGGGGGGGGTTAATATTGCTTTCAGGCCGGGAGCCAACCTGCTCTGTTTCTACATTAGGATCCTGGGCTTGATGGTGGAGTGATTTCCAAAACACTGTAGTGCAGCACCTGTCAAGAGACTGAAGATTCTCTGTGGTAATAAGGACAGTAGAGGACGCTTCTGAGTGTAGCAGTATAAAAACTCATCTATTCACACGATGATTGGCAACTTACAAGACAATATAGTGATATCAGGCATATACACATAGAAGTGTCATTCAGGGTCAGCTTCTGGGGATGTTCCTTTGCAGAACAGGATGAGCCTCCCAGGTAAAGACTATATCACCTGTTGCTGTAATGCAGAGGAGACACACAGTAGACGAAGTGTAGCAATAGGTGAATGAAAAGCAAGCTATGGAAACTTAGAGGTAGAGGGTTAAGAGCCTTATATGTGTCTTTCTCCTCACTTGGGTCCATTAATCTTCCAGATGTAGGAGAGCCAAGTGGGGTTCAGCTGTCAATAGAGCCTAAGGATGTGGATGGGAGCCCTGGAGAGTACTGGGAGACAAATATAAAAAATACCGGATACTTTTTCATACAAGTACATGGTACAGCAGGCATATCAGGAATATGAAATGTTGTTTACATACTCCTTTAACCCGTAAGGATCTGTTCCTTGTACTGTAGAGAGATGAGATTGTTTTGAGGCCAAAAACCTCCTTTCTTCAAGGTAGTCTCTCCCTTCCATCTCAAACGTGTAACTTCCTATGCATATCCAGGCATCATTTTTCATCATTATGACTGTTTTATGTTTATTCTCTTAACCCTGATGGGGGGGGGGGGTTGCCCCTGAAATGCGCTGGCTGTTTGTATTTTATTTATTTTACCATCAATTACAATGATCTTGGACTCTCTCATTCACTTTAATCTGGTACTCCTTTCTGTATTTCTCTGTCCTGCTCCTTGCCATCCTAAGGCAGTCTTCTGGATGTGGTATACACTGTTGTGAGTTTTTCCTCATCTGCAGCTTTGTTTGAACAAACCAAATCTTTGTCATTCTTGCGACAACCTCCATCTCATTTCACCATCTCCCATGTGGATTCAACAACGCCTCATTTAAGCCTATTGACTTAAAAAAAAAAAAATTTAACTCTACTAGGTTTTTGGTTTAATGATCGGGCCTCTTTTGATGCTCGCTTTGGTCGTAAGGTTCTTCGAGCAGCTGTGTGAACCCCCTCGAACACCTTCAGTTTTTCTGTTGATGTGGGGCTGTTGATATTTAATTTGCTGCGGTTCTCAACCCTTCAGTTGTATTGCTTGAGGATGTTCCTACCTTCCTGAATACTATTTTTTGACCTGTAATGTATGCTTCAGTAAATCCTTTTCATGTTACCTGTAAAATTCTTTCCTTTTAAAGTACATTTACATGAAACTGGTTCTGCCCCGCTGTTCTCATGATCCACTCTTACTTTTGCTTGCTTGGACTGGAAGGAGTTATGCAGTGCTGTTGTAACAGCTCTGTTTTTCGTCAGTGTCTGGTCTGCTGTAGGTGGCAGCAACCCTTTGTTCCTGAATACTGCCGTGTGTCCTGTAATGAACTCCAAAAAGAATGAAAAGAATTTTACAGGTAAGACAAAAATCCTATTACATTGCAGGTTAACCAGTCCTTCGATGTGCTGACTGCACTTGTTTACATCACTTGTTTCCTTTAGAAAATCTCTATATTTCTCCTCTATATTTGTGGAGATGGAGACATTTCTGGTCTTGTCCTAGGGTGACAACCATATCTTTCTACAGTTATAGTGGAGTGAGCATAGCCACCCAGGGACAGGAAGTGTGGTGTTTTGCAGTATTAGTATGTTAGAATAATGATAAAAGGATACAAATGCAGACACTAGGTCTAAGGACTGGTAAGCTCCATTATATAACATTTTTTGTGTCTTGGGTTTAGGTACACTTAAATGATCACTTTTTTTTATCATAGAAAACATTATATTTGGTAAACTGAATATTTGGGAGTAATTTATTTCCATAATCTTCCTTTCCATAGGTTGGCAGCAATGCTGGCATAGTGGGCATGACTAAAGAACATCTCGGTCTGGCGTTGGCATTAAACGTCCCAGTCTTTGTGGTGGTAACAAAGATTGACATGTGTCCAGCAAATATATTACAAGGTGAAAATATCATTAATTTGTGTTTGGGTTTTTTGGGTTTTTTTTTCCTCATTGTGATGTGGACATCAAAACCTGTAGGTTGATCTGACTTTTTCCTGGTAAAGAATGTGTATTACAAAGCATGTTGAGGTTGGTTTTCCACAATATTGTTAAATACTCATCCAAAATTAACTGGGTTGAAAAAAACCTGGATTCATATTTTAATCCACACAGTACAGGACACAGGTGATAGATAGATACACACATATATACACCCCCTGACTTATCCGCTGGTAACTTCAGTTGATTGGACACTAGCAAAATTTGAGGACCTGTCCCCTGGGTATTTGTCCACTGCGATGGGTGAAGCCCAGACCCTATATAGGGACCAGCAACATGGATAGGTAAGACAGGGTCACCCGATTTCTCTGACTTGCTGTAGTCCCACAACAAGTATGAGACGTTTAATATCTCCAATACTTGCTTTATGCTCTTTATTTGTATTCTGCATAGTGAATGTTTATAACTATCAGGAAACCTGGAATTTGTTTTGAAATTAAACAGTGTGAAACTTTTCTAACTTTGTGCTAAAATCCAGCCACTCAGAGCTTAGTCTCCAGTGGATAACCAAGTGTTTCCCCACACCACACCACAGGTTGCATCTCCAGAATGACTGACTGATTTTATGCACATGTGCAGAATCTTGTGTCTCAAAGCCTAGTCAACTGAAGCTGCCTGTAACAGAAGCCTCACACGTATTCCCTTTTGAAGGACATCATATTGGTGCACCACTTGACAAATTCATCAAAGATTCCACGGAGGGAAAGGTCCTTCTTCCACAGCTGAAGATTCAAAAGCGCACCTCCGGTCTTCTGCCTCCTACAAATAAAAAGAAAAAACAAAAAACCTAGGCTTCAACTGTTTAAAGCTCTTTTTAGCGCAATACAAAGTCTGCCCCAAAGCATTCTTCTCAATGATGGGTTTTCCACACTCTTAAGAGTGGGAAGACATCTGCTACTGCTTGCTATTCTGTGGGTTACAGGTGTGCAAGGCCTGTGGGTTCAATCAGTGGTTTCATAGTAAAATATAAAGTTCAAAACTCTGCCCCTTACCACTTTCTTCTATCAAACCAACCAAAATCTGCTCAAGGACTGTCAGATTTGCAGAACCATCTTATGTCCTCGGGAGTAGTCCCTCAAATACCTCGAGGACAGGCTAAAAGGATTCTATTTAAACATGTTCCTGGTACCAAAACCCATCCGGGGTTTTTGTCCTATCCTGGAGCTAAATTCCCTAAACAAATACCCCCCCTGGTTCCAAAGTTTAATATGAAATCTTCAAGGTCCGCTATTTGCCTCCTCTGAGACAGGGGTATTACTGGCATCTGTAAACATCCAAGATGCCTACCTGTATTTTCCCATCTACCCACTGCATCAGTGCATTCTGTGCTTTGTAGTAGGAGACGTAAATGCTTAGTTTTTCATACTGCCCTTTGGCTTATCCTCTACTACCAGAGTATTCACAAATGTACTTTCTAGTCTGACTAGAGGAGCTTTTTCTGAAAGTCTCTTCTCTCTTCCAGTTATTTGTAAACATCCACAGGACTATTCAGAACCTCCAGGCTTTCGGTTGTATAATCCTCTTCCTAAATTCTGCTCTCCAGCCTTCCTTTCCTGGAGCATGAGTCTCATTATAAACAGTCCAAGCAAAAGTTTCTTTCAGAAAACAAACTGGTCTCTCTCAGATCTCATACTCTGGTCTTAATGTTACAGAAGCGCCCCCCTGTGAGATTATCACAGTGATCTGGGTCTCTTGGTGGTCTTCATCAAAGCGATTTAATTCACCCAGTTCCATTAACCTCTTCCCACCTGCCCATTGCATATAGACTGCGGACGGGAAGCTTTGCCGATGCGGGGTAACGTATGTGTACATCAGTCCGCATCAGCAGCTCTTGTGCAGTTTAGAACGCTCACCCAGGAGCCCGGCAATTGGCGTACTGTGCAGATACAGCGGATCACATTACTGCTGTGTCCAGTTGATCACATGGTCTTTTTACCATGTGACTGCTTTACCCAATCACAGCACTCACATTGTAAACACTGGAAAGTGAAACTAAAGATCGCTTCTCTCTGCTTGTCAGTGTGAGGACAGAGAGAAGCGATCCTGTAGCCTGTGAGTGTACAGCAGCCTGTCAAAGTGCTGTGCCAGCCACCCCAGTGTCCCAGTTTAGTGTCCCAGTGTCTCTGATCAGAGCCCCAGTATGTTCATCATAATGCAGCCAGCCCCTGTCACCTGTCCCAGTGTGCAGTAAAACACCCCCATACACCATACCAGTGTCCTGTCCCCATACACTATACCCAAACCAATGCCCAGATCACCACCATATCCGCATCCTGATCACAGCTATACCCTATACCAGCGTCTTGATCACTACCATACATCATACCAGCGTCCAACATTTTAAGCAAAAAAAATTTTTTTTTTTTTTTCTTCAACATTTTTGGCATTTTTCCATTTTATATAACAAAAAAAATTTAACAGTTGTGATAAAATGCCACCAAAAGAAAGCTGTCAGAATAAAAAAAAAAAGCTAAAAATGTCATGGGTACAGTGCTGAGTAATTGTCACTCCAAAGTGTGATGACTTCTGAAAATTGGCCTGAACTGGAAGGGGGCGAAAGAGTTCGGACTTGAAATGGCTAAAGGCCTCCTTCAATGCAACATCTCTTTGGCACGGAACAGATATGCTGCCTCTCGACCTGCCTATGCTCCTATTCATCCAAGCAAGGAGTTCCTTTTTTATATGTATTTCAGTTGTCACCATCTCTACCAAGGGGAATGGGCTTTTCAACCTGATGTCCGAAATGGGGACTTTTGGAATGTGAATATCCTGACCTCCAGTTTCAACTAGTTACTCGTATTTGTGGTCAAGACCAAGGATCCTTTAGCACTGCATCAAATGTTCTGTTGGTTCCCTGGATCCGTTTTCAGGCTAATTGATGCCTTTTCTCCAGTGGGAATTCTGCCTTGACTACTCTACAAAATAGAACAGAAGTAACCCGTGATACTGTCTTGAGACAGAGGTCTTATTCTGTTTCCATATTTGTAAAAACAAGTAAAGCCACTTCCAGCATGATCTATTACCATTCCCAGAAATCCTTTGTCTGACGTGAACACAGGCATTTTAATCCCAGGGATTACTCTGTGCCTCACATTCTAGTCTTCAGGGCTTGACCATAACATGGCCTTAAAGCAGAACTCCATGTAAAATTTTTATCATGCAGTGGGGCTGTGCCCGCACTGCATGGGTTAACTGCTCGTTTTGTCAAGGGGTTAAGGGAAAAGCTATACTTACCCTGTCCTCCAATCCTTTGGAAAACCATGCACCCCCCACGTCCAGCGGTGGACTGTTCCTGGACTCCTGACACCCAGTGCCGGTCTGTGGGCATGATTATGTCAGGAACAATCATTCACAAGAACACTAGCGTGCAGGGGGGGCAGAAGCGACCGGGACCGGTCTCGCGCTTCAAGGATCCCTGGATTCAGTAAGTATAACTTCGCTTTTATCACCCCTAGACAAAAAGAGCAGATAGCCCATGAAATGTGGGAACAGCCCCACTGCATGGTACAAAAAACATTTATCCCGGAGTTCTGCTTTAAGTACTCTTAAGGGACAGGTTTCGGCCTTGTTCATTCTTTATAAAAAAAACCTCTGGCTTTGCTATCCCTTATGTAGACCTTTTATTCAGTGTTTCTTGGATCAATCCACCCTTACAGCTCCCTGTGCATCCTTGGTACCTTAATTTGGTGCTCTCTACCCTCCAGAAACCACCATCTGAACCCATCAAACTCCCTTTTTGGATGACTTCCTGTTTCTCCTGAAGGTGGTGTCAGCCTTCTACCTCAAAGACCTATTCCTTCCTTTTTGTTGTGCACTACTCCAAAACACCCAAAGGAGTTTGCTCTGCTCTTTGCTGTCTGGGCTTATTCAGAGCTAATGTACCTCCAAAGCTGCAGCTTCTATCTGGAAGACACCCCCCCCCCCCCCCCCCCCCCCCCCCCTTTACCATCACATGGGATATCCTGCTTCAAGATCCGCCATCCACTAGGTGAATAAGGTGCCTAATCTAAAGAGCTTGCACCCAAAGGACAAAGCACCTAATGCATTTACATGCTTACTCTTCCAGTTTGGTAGGCGTTTCCTGGGCATTCAGAGTTTGATCTTCTGTTGCCCAGCTTTGTAAGGCCACCACCTGGTCTTTTGCACATACCTTTTCAAACCAGAGGGGAAGTCCAGTCTTCTGCGGATTGAACTTTTGGCTACATGGTTATACAGCAGCACTCTTGAGTTTGGTCTGTTGCCCTTTATTTTTCAGCCTGTTGGCACACTTTGCCTTGTTGCCTACTCTTTTAATTGCTTGGGGACAACCCAGGATCTAAGAATATCAAGCCTGTTCCCTGTTCTGTACTCCAAGATATAAGTCAAAATTAATTTTTTTTTTTTTTTTTTTTTTTTTTTTTTTCCTTTCTGAGAATGGTTCTGGCCATGCAATGGCAGACTGCCTCTTGAATGGTTCAACATTAAATGTGCATAAGGGGAGAGAAATTTACAAAATGTGTTTGATTTCCTCACAAATTGGAGGCTGTTCAGTTTTAAGTGTGTGATGGTAAATTTAAAGTACTGGGGTTGATTTACTAAAGCTGAAGAGTGCACAATCAGGCTCACTTATGCATTGAAACCAATCGGCTTCCAGGATTTATTTACAAACCTTAATTGAAGAAACTGAGGTCAAAAGCTGACTGGCTACCATGCACAGCTACACCAGATTCTCAGCGCACCAGTTTTTGTAAATCTACCCCATTGTGTTGGTGTTGTATGTAAGTAAGCTATGTTGTGTAATGGTGGAACGGTATTAACTGTGCTTATGCTGAATACAGTTTTATATACAAGGGAAGAAAAATGTTTTTTTTTTTTTTTTTTTTTTTTTAACGTGATCAGCCTCTTCCTTTAGTAAATCAGCCCAATTGCAAATTAATGTGCAGAATAGGTTTAAATGAAACCACCAGCAAACATTAACTGGCTGCATCCTTACTGCAGGTCAGCTATGCACTAGATAGTGGCTTGGGGATTACAATACCACCATCTTGAATTTTTTTAAATATATCTGGAGTGGCAACTCCCATATTTTTATTCTCATAGGTTGACTTTAGGAGATTATGGGAAAACCAAAAAAGAGAAAATTAAAAATGAGTTGTTCCATTATAACAATAGTGTGGGTTTTTTTTTTTTTTGTTTTACTAACTTTGGGTGAAAATGAGAACAAAAAACTGGTCACTATGAAATTTTTTTTTTTTTTTTTTTTTTTTTTTTTTTTTTTAAACCCTCACTAAAAGAAGGTATTATGAACTGGAGTATGTCCTAGGCAGAGGTTGCTATTCTTGGATCACATGCATCTCAAGTTCTAAACCTGGGCTCAATTATTTTTATGGGAATATTTATTTTTTGTTTACACTCTCTCAACTTCAATCTCTGACTATTTTAAATCCTTATACTGTTAGCATTAGTAAATGGATAGGGGGAAGTATATAATATTTACTTTAACCTTTTTTATTTTTTTTGTTACTTTCTGGTTTTCATACCTAGGCAAACTCATACAGGAGTCTTTAGAAGGGGCGGAGGGTGGGATGATTTTTCTCAGCTAAGTGTACCTTCGTGCCTGAGCTAACGTCATTTAACATTTACTTCCTGGAATTAATCTGCCTTGTATTCCCTTACTCAAGATGGTCATGGCCAGAAATGCTAGCAGGGTGGTGTCTTTCAAAGTGATTTCCCAGCAAAATAAAGCATGGAGACCTGGATGGATTAGTGAGCGTGCGTTTTTTAGTTTATAGTGCTCTGATGCAGTTTTTAGTTCCGCTTTAAATGAATGGAGGGTAAATATTTGGCTTGGAGATATCAAAGTTATCAAAAACCTTGTTTGCTCTGCTCTTCTGTAAGTCATGCGGTATGTTTACTGGTATGGTCATTGTTTGTTTGTTAATATCACTGTTAGAGCATTGCCCTGTCCTTCATTGTGATATTCAGTAGCATATAATCTGTGCAGATATTAAAACAGCAGTTCAGTGATTCTAGGTATTTTAAGCTGCCACTGATAACTGCCCTTTCCCATGTGATTGGGGAGAGAGTGCTAGCTGGGAGACATAGGTTTATTAGGTATTGTGCAGCCCATCCAAGTGTATGAGAGACTGAAATTTGCTGCGACTGTAAGTGAATGAATGATGTACCAAGTATTACTCATGTTTATGGCCCTTTTGACTTCAGGTACAATTGCCTGGAACGTAGGTCTTCTGTGACGGCTACACTCCACAGAGTACATAAGAGTAGGTCTAGAAAGTTAAATTCATCACATCAGTACAGTTTCTGTAAAAAATTCAGATATGCTTTATGAAAATGTCATCTTTTGATTTTGCAGAAACTCTAAAACTTCTGCAGAGGCTACTTAAATCTCCTGGGTGCAGGAAGATTCCAGTCCTGGTGCAAAATAAGGATGATGTCATTGTAACGGCCTCCAACTTCAGCTCAGAAAGGTACAGGTTTTAATGCACTTAATAGTTTATTTCAGGTACTTGTATAGCGCCGTAAATTATACGCAGCGCTATATATATTATATATATATATATATATATATATATATATATATATATATATATATATATATATATATATATATATATATATATTATATTCACACAGTGTGGGAGGAAACCGGAGTAACCTACGGGGATTCGAACGAACGACCCTAGTCCTGCCAGGCGGAAGTGCTAACCATTTAGCCACTGTGCTGCCCATAGTTTTTCTGTAATGTGCATTGAGCTGCACAGCTTGAGGTTATGTAACCTAGGGTTATACTGAAGCCTATAGGAGAAATGGACACGAGAATTCTAAAATTTTGCTGTGGTGAAATTTATTATTATACAGGATTTATATAGCGCCAACAGTTTGCTCAGCGCTTTACAATATAACGGGAGACAATACAGCAACAATACAGTTCAATACAAGAGGGAAAGGAGGGCCCTGTTCCTTGGAGCTTACAATCTAGGATGATGTCATTTGGCGCCCTTCTCAGCCAATCAGAATAACTTTATATTTCCTAGTGCTGTATATTGTATGTAGCTAAGGTTACATACAGTTTTTACAGTCCTCTCTGCCACTGGAGTTGTTATTGAAGTAAGTTGTTTGGACCAGCAAATACAAGTGTTTTTTGTATTGGCATGCTTTTGGATGTTCCTAGTTTTCTTTATTTAAAGCTCTGTCCCACAATGGTGATTTCAGATGTCATTTTTGTACTCCCCATAAAATCCTTTTCTTGGAGTTAAATGACTTGGCTCCTTTCCCCCATGCTATCGGTCTCTTTAGATTGTGTGCTGCATTTGAGCAGTTGAGGAGTGGGCTAAAGCCTCTAGGGGCTGGTCTTCTGTTTTCTGTGTGCCTAGTGTCCACTTTCCCTGTAGGCAGGGGTATGACCCTGAGCTGCTTAATTTCAAGTTGTGTGCCTCAATTTTTGAGAAAAGGACTTTAAAATGTTTACAATTACTTTTTTCCAGCTTCAATGATGTATTGATGCACTCAGGGTCACACCCACCTAGAGCAGACCCCTAAGAAACCTACTGGAAACCATTTACTAAAGCATAACGCATACCATTTTCATTACCATACTTTGGTTGTTCATATTACAAATCTTATTTCAGTTCACTAAAAGCCTGATTACCTGTATCGGCTAAATAAATGGCTTGCACAGCTTATTTTATATTTTATACGTCTGTGAATTTTTTTTTTCAATGTAGCTTATACTTTAGCAATATTCATGCTTGTGATTTGGTCACATTTATGAGAAAATTGTCATGAGATAAAATACTGAACACAGTTAAAACTTGCATATTGATGAAATAACTTTTGTCATATGACAAATTGTGGTTTCTTTTAATACATTCTACAATTTTATATAAGACAGGCCACGCATTAGTCTGTTTATGATGTGATATTAAAGGCAAAGACATCTTTTATATGGGGCAATGTCCTGGTTAGTACATTAAAAAAATAATTATGTATATTAAAAAAAGAAATTCCGACCACTGCAGTTTTCACCTCTACTTTTTGGCAGCATGGTGCTGGCTGACCGTAATATACCAGTAGATTTTTGCTTGAAAAAATTTTTTTGTGGGATGTTCATTTTATTTTCTAATAGTTAGTGTTCAAAGTAAGTCTTTCAACTAGTGACGCGTAAATCAAAAGTGAATGGAACATTTTTCTCGAATGAAATTCGGATGCAAATGTGGTTTTCATTAAGGAAAAAGCATACTTGTTGTAATGCATGTACATAATGAAATTGAATACAGCGAGCTTAAAGCAGAACTAAACCCTTTTATCCTTTATAGCCAAGGAACTTCCATCTTTGCCTCCATTTGATCTGAAGTTGCCATGACGTTGCACATGTTATCTGCTATGACACCTGCGTTCTCAGTCTGGTTGAGAGTTGACGAGCACACTAGTAACTGTACAAGGTATCATTCAAGGCTAACCTTGAATGTAACCGTTAAATTGGTGGATTTAAAGTGGTTGCAAACCCAGAAATATACCCAGTGAAGTGACTGTCCTCATAATCCTCAGATTAAACCAATCCTACATTGTACCTGTCTATATGCAGTCTTCTCTTCTTGGCACCTGTTCAAAATGTTGAATTTTTAACGTTTGTCTGAGTTCAGAAAAAGAGAGTGAAGCGCTGAAATTACACACTGCAGAACTTGGTGGTGAAGAGAGCAGATTTGAGAGAGGGGACACCCTCCCCTCCCTTCCTTCACTCAGCACAGAGGAACAGAGCTGAGGCTTTTAGTCTGCTGGAGGTCAGTCCCCAGCGCCATTTTTCTCTTTTGGTGTCAGGCAAACTTGTCAGAAGTGATTCATGCTGATAGCAGAGGAGCGTGGCAGCAGACAAATGACATATAGTGCTCAGGATTGAGGCAAGCACGCACTATAGAGGGATATGTTTTTTTATATTTCATATCTGAGGTTTACAACCACTTAAATTGATGGGTTTAGTTCTGCTTTAAAGCAGGATTAAACTGTTTTAAGAAAAAAAAAAAGCATTCCCAACATGATGGGAATATAATTGTCATATTTGCTCATCCAAACTGTCAAACCATCAAATAGTTGGTGTTGTGACTAATCGTCAACTGCTGTGGTGCTGCACGTGAACAAACAGACGTTAAGATGGCAGCTTTGTTAGCTGAAAAAGATAGAAGGGTTTAGACCTGTGTGTACTGTCTGTGTCAAAAAGCAAAAATATATTCTTCGTGCTGCTTTACGCAATATCTGGCAGTCATCACAAGTAAGCTTGACTAAATCCTACAGTTCTACAGCATATTTTGGTTTTCCAAACAATAGAAAAACATTATTTAAATAGAACAGGATACATGGCAATCACTCACATTTTAGTAACTGTATCGTCTCAGTCTTGCCGTATATTGTAGTTTTTACACTGATCATCTCTCGCTTCAGGATGCATACAATTCATATAGGGCTGCATCCTGTTTCTGCAGCTTTGTTTACAGCTGGTATGGCTTTTAGTAAGGGGTTTGGCATGGGGCAAACGCTTCTAATTAGTTTTTATTGTACACAGCCACTTTCATGAGGGAAGTGGTACTTATCTCTGGGGGTGGTTGCCATCCACAGCCAGCTTCATTCCACAGTTCTGTGAGTCTAACGTGTTTTTTTAGTAATGTATATGCTGGAGTCAGTTTAGGCAGCTTACAAGAGGAGCAGCACATAGTGAAGACCCAACAGCAGCAAAAACATTTTCCTGCTTAGTTGTACAGTATGCAACACTGTATCTTTTAGTCTTTACATCTTTATAATGGGTTATATGCAGCTACCCTTTAGGTGATTGGGGCACTGGCAAATAAGAAAGGGCTGCAAGGACAGCCCCCTATATAATCCCTCACTTTTTTGCTAGTGCCAATGATGGACCTTTTCACTGGTTGAAAGAAGCTTACCTCTTTCCTACGCAGGTTTTCTTTGATTTTTCTATCAAGCTCTCTGGGTGCTTTATAGCCACTGCTGCTGCTTCTGCAGCTTCTGGTTCAGTTGATTTGGCTGTGGCTTGGGGGACCGTACCCAGACCCCTCTGGAGTGAAGTGGGGCCAGCCTGTAAAGTTGCCAAATGCTCTGGATCCTCCTGTAGTAAGCTGTCCTTGTCATCTAGTGCAGTAAGCCACAAGTTGCTTTACAAGTCCAGAGATGTAGTCTGCCTTTTTTTTTTTTTTTTTTTTTTTATAATGCTACCTACAGTGCTTCAACAGTCGGTACAGGCAGAAACCCTGTTAAACATTAATACCCAGGGTGTCATAGAATTTTCTGATTTGTGACTACCCCTTGTGTGTTTGTGAAGTAATTGCTTGGTGCCACTCCACCTGTGAGACTTTCCTTTGGCAACACCTAGTGCCCATGTGCGATTAGGGTCCTCACTGTGCCTGCACCTTTTCATTCTCAAGTAGGCTACTGTGGCGGAGCACCCTTACTCTTTCTGGGCAGTCCTGGCCAGCAAGAGCTCCTGGCTGTCCTCCATTGGCACAGCAGTCTCACTGTGTAATCTGGGTTTACAGATGCCTACAGTGCTTGACACCAATACCTTCCCCTCCATCTCCAGTGGGGGTCATGAGAACCCTTTCGAAGACAACACTTTTCAGAACGAGACAGATTAGTAGTGCACAGGAAAAGGGTTAGGTGGATTAGCTAGCTCAGGCTTAGCACTTGGCTCCAACAGGGGTGGTAGTTTATCCACTCAGAGCTATAGTACCCTTTTATTGTTATGGTTGCTCCTAATCTGTTGCCATTCTGCCGACTCATCTACCATACCAACTTTTTTCTTATGCAGGCAGGAATTTTCTGCTATGTCAAAATGTGGGCAGAATTTCAGGCCTTATTGAAGCCATTGATGGCAGTGGTCACTGTTTGTGCCTTCTTGGTCTTCCCCACATGAATCTATCTTTTACTTTGCTTTGAAGTTGGACACCCGGAGGAGGAGGTAGAAACTGCGGGTGATCCCTCTCCAAGAAACCTGGTTTAGGATGGTTTCATCCAGGCTTAAGGATACCATGGCTACCCTTTTTGATGTGGTAAGCTTCTGCTTAGCATTAACAGCAGCCTAAGTCTGCTCACCCGAAGATATCCAGCATATGGTCCATTAAATTGCCAAAACCAGATAAGCTTTACAAAACCAGATAAGATTTATACTGCTCTTGCTGGTGGAGCTTGCCCTTTTTGGAGACTGGCCTATTTAGGAGAAGATCTGCTCAGCAATATCCTGCTAAGCAAAGCTTTCTGTGAAGGTGGGCAATTCATATGGTAGGTCTTGCCATTTCTCATGACATTGTTGAGGATAATCTTGTGTTCCAGAAACCAGTGGACAAGAGGTTAAAGGCCATTTTTCTCTTTACCGGGCCCTGTCCTGAAGCCTGCAGTTGGCAGTCCGATAGTCCATTGCTGTTTGGACTAATGCATGGTCCAAGATCCTAACTCCATCATAACATGC